CGCGCGGCTTCGCCCTCGCCGGGGGCCGGCGGAGCCTCCTGGAACCAGGGCCCCTGCGGGTACACGGGCAGGGGCACGTTGGGGAACATCCGGCAGGCCGCCAGGTAGGCCTGGTGCAGGGGGTACAGGTACGAGTGGGGGGCCCACATGGGGCAGCTGTATGCCTGCAGGACAGGGGGGAGAGAAAACAGGCCAATGGATTTGGAGTTTCAAACGTTCAGAAGCCATACAGGTCATCTACCGTTTGGAAACGACCAAGAAGTAAAGGTTCATTTTCTTTACAGTGACTGCCCTCTATTCTACACATTTAGGACTCTAGGATGATGTTCTCATTTTTTGTTTTCCTTTCAAATGCAGCTGCACTAGGCAACAGTTATGAGCAGCAACAAAACTTGGTAACAATTTTTATGTAGTTAACTTAAACACGTGGTGCTACTAAGTCAAGTTTTAACTATGCCTTTGCAGACACAAGTTTCCAAATTCTTTTTCCAGAATCATAGCTATTAATCAGCCGTTTGCACTACTAGCTCACTTCTCCAGATTCTAAATGCTAACAATCAAAACAACAAGTTGTCATAACATCCACGTATTTGCACTTAAAAAGACTACACCAAGACCCAAAGTTAGATCATTTCCCCAAGGACAGTTTGTAAAGCCTGAAATCCACATAAATACACACAACCCACAGATGAGCTGTTTTAGAAGCCCCTCGGGGAGAGGTGTTGTGGTTGAGGCTCACTAGAACATCCACCAGGAGCTGGAAGGTACGTTGTGAGTCAGAAGAGGCACAACACCAACGGGCAGCAGCAAGTTCTTCAGTGCTGGTGGTGAGCACGAGCTGCTCACAGTACTGAAGGTGCCCACCTCAGGTGGTGTCCTCTCCCTGTCCTCTGCTCCCACGGTAACTAACCAGGGCACAGTGGCTCGTGGTGACACTGCTCAGTGAGGAGCTCCTACGTGAGGACTCGTCTTTGGTGCACAGCAGCTGGCCCAGGAGCACCCTGCCAGCCATACCTATGTCAGGCCACCAAGCAAGGCTGCTGGAGGCACAAAGCTGCCCAAGAAAACACTGGAGTAGCTCAAGGGCAGAGCCCAAAACCTGGCACGGTCTTGTCTGTGCCACCTGTAGAAACAGCCCCAGGAGCAAACCACCCCGAGAAGCCTCCCCAGACCTCCTGTGAGCAGGGACTGGCCAGTTCACCCCAACAAACAAAAGGAAGGGTGTGGACAACAGCAGGGCACCGTCTGGAGCCACAGCAGTGGAGAGGGTAACAGAAAGTGGTTCCCAGGTCTCCCACAGCCTTTGGTCACAACTGCTGGAGCATGGTACTGTGACCAGTAGATGGTGCTGAAGCACCAAAATGAGACCAGATCCTAACTCCTACCACCCACCAGTGAGGAGAGTCTGAAACACACCCGGGCTTAGCAAACAACCACTTAAATATATTGCAGTGACACTTGCTAGTGACTTATGGGTTTTCTGTAAAGCAGAGAGGCTTGTATTAGGCACACAGGTATCAAATCTAAATTTACTTTCTTAAGCTGTGCTGAACTTCAGTTGTTTCCTCTCTCCATGCCCAGCCACCCAAGAAAATCATTAGTTATGCCTACAGCCATGGAAAGAGCTGAGAGCTCTCAGCACCTTTCCCTTGCTGAAGGAGTAAGAGAAGGTAAGAGAAGCACATCTTCTTATGTGCAGAAGAGAGAGACTTGGCAAACCACTGGTGTTCACCAAGAAAGGGAAAATGTTGCCTTTTTGGACAAGCCTCTTCCCCAGCCAGGCACGAGATTTGCACACACGAGGCGTGTGAGCTGCAGTGGCTCTGCCACAACACAGGCAGGGCCAGGGGGGCTCTTTTTTTTAACTTAAAAAGAGAACACACCCTCCAGCTCACAGTGCTTCACCCTCCAGCTCACAGTGCTTCACCCTCCAGCTCACAGTGGCTTAGCTGCCAGCCTGTAAAGCAGAGTCTGTTGACTGTGTGGCCTCAGCTGGAAGCCAACAGTTCTCAGTTCACTACTGAGATAAAATGTGTCTCTGTTGGCTCCAGCTGCAGTGTGGACCACTGCTGGGACCCCAGGCAACAAAATCAGACAGTCTATCAAATTTTAAGATGAAGTCTACAGCTGCAAGAATCAAGGCTTTGCACTCTAAGTAGTATCAAATACAAGCAAATGCTATGGAATAAACACAAAAAAAGTTTGAGGAGTTACCTTCACACCAAGATTGAAGAAAAATCTAAGAATATTCTTATCTAGGAAGAAAAAAAAAGAAAAATAACTATGAAAACCTAAAATATTACAATTAATCTGATGCAAAACTTAGTCCTTGCATTAAGTTCCATTTCAGCAGAGCAACACTGGCATCAACCTGCTGCTTGCAGGTCTTTGGTTGATTTGGGGTCTTTTTATTTTGCCACAGTAAGATATGCAGAACACAACTGCAGTTTAAATTCCACTTTTAACAGTCTGTGAAACTGAATTCCAGTTTTTAAACAAAGAGTTCAGTAAACAAACACCACCAGGCAGTCAGACATGGTGTGTCCCCATATTTGTAGCATGCCAAAAGCTGTATTTTCTCAGGCCAGTGAGGAAATGCTCAGAAACTTTCAGGCTTCTGATTACAAGAGAAAACCTGTTACTGATAAAAGGAAGCAGTTCCCCATGGAAAACAGCTCTACTCAATACTCCCTCCCACACCTTGTATCATGGAATGACAACAACCAGATCTATTGATGCAGATTAACAACAGGGCCAAAGAATTTGTCTTTATCCACATTTTAAGATAAGAAAACCTGTCAGGAAAAACGGTGTAAAGCCCAGACCTCCTCCTAGCTCCTCACCTTTAGGCAAGTCTTCCCCCGTATTGCACAGGGAGTAAGAGGGTGCAACAGCTCTTTCTCCCTTCTCACTGAAAGGGAATCCAGGGTACAGTGGGTCCTGATAAGGATTCAGAGTCTGAGGCAAAGGCATTAAAGGCTGGTTAACTGCTTGTAGTGACACAGGAACTCCAGCAACTGGAGCAGATGTTACCTGAGCCTGTGATACAATAGAGTCAGGTCCCGTGGCTGGGGCTGGCATCAGTGAAGAAGCAGGTATTTGAGCTGGGATACCTGAGGGAGAAGAGTGCTTCTTATATATGCACATCTGCCTACAGACAGCAACTGCATACAATCACAAAAGACAGCAGGAAAGCAAGGTACAAAAGGCAGAAGGACAAAGGAAATAAAAAGGTATTCAGGAGGGCACAGAAGGAAATCACTGAGTCTGGCAGTGACAAAGATTTAGCTAAATGCAGAGAACAGCTTTCAGAAAGAGCAGAACAGTCAAATGTTCCAGAAATAGCTAAACCTATCTCATGTTTATTTTAAAAACTATAAATACCAAAAGAAAATAGGAAGGGAGGAAAAAAAAAAAAGTTGGGGGAAGGAACTAAAACTTGTATGTGAACCTCTGCAGTTCTCATTCTGCTGAGGCATCTACAGTCACCTCTGAATCTGAGCTCAGGTCAACTGGGCTACACATCCTCTGTCAGATGCCCTCCAGCACAGCAGCATTATTCCTGTGCCACACAAGGGTACAGACTGATTCAAGAGCCAGTTCTTGTACAGAAACACAGCAGTGGGAGAGAAAAGTACAGCCCCTCACCTCATGAGCAGTGCTGCATCCATGCTAAGTGCACGTGTCAGAAGGTACAGAGCACACACAACCCACTCCACTGCCCTTGCAGCCCAGGTCCCAACAGATCTCATCAGTCCCAGACACACCAGACCCAGGCTGAGTCTCTGCTGAGTGAAGAGGCTTATTCCATGGGGTAGAGAGCACTAACACTTATCAAGCTCCAACGTGCTGACAGTGGGTTCTGCCTTAAGCAGATCCTCAGAACAAGCTCTCTCAAAACTCAGTGCTATCCCACTGGAGAAAAATGGAGCATTGAGTACAGATCCTCCTTCCACCTCCAGGAAGGCAGTAAAGCAAGCCACACCCATGGGCAGTTACACATCTGCCAGAACCCTCACTCCCTTTCAGCAGCAGGAAACTACATGACTGCCTTTATAATGGGAAGTGAAATGAAATCCTGTCTCCTGGAGGCATCTCCAATTTAGCAAGACAGTTAAAGCATTTTTCAGGGTGAGTAGTTTCTGATGTATCTGAATATGTCTCCAAACCTGCTGGTCCATAAGCTGCTGGCTCACTTGGCCAAGCTGGCACAATGGCTGGTACAGAAGGCACTGCTGGAGGTAAATGCACCTCAGAAAAGACTGGAGAGGGTGTTGGAGTTATGCTTGGTAAGCATTCTGTCAGGCTCTACAGAAACAAAGAGATCAAATGAAGTTATTCTAAATCTTTTATTGTAATAAATCTTTTTATTCTGAAGCTTTAAATTTAACTCTCTCCCATCAAAAAGAAAAGCCACCCTCACAAACCATTACCAATAACTTTGGAGAAAGCTGAAAAAGCAAAGGTGAAGTATTTCAAGTGGAAAGCATGGTTATCTTGGGTATGAAACAACCCCTCTCTCCACAGAGGGGGGTTTACTTTTCTATCCTTTCTCCTCTTCAAGGGCCCATCCTTTCACATCCTCTCAGTTAGGAATCTTAGACCAGATTCCTAACTGTAAATAGGAAATTTCAGCATTATCACCATAAAAATCACTGTGTCATTAAAAGCTGGTGTTGCAATACATACGTGGCTGTGGTGAAGCTCCCCTTTGTCTGAAGTCTCCTGACTGGAAAACTTTGAAATCAAACAAACATTTCTTACTTGCTCAGCAAGAATCGGAGACTCTGTTTTGACTTGTTCCAAAGGAGATGAAGCTTTGGGGTAACTCTCATCTTGACTATTCTTCTAAAGCAAAGTTAGAAACAACAGACTAATATTAAAGATTTACTTTTCAAAGAGGCATTCAAAGATATCAAACCACACTACACACAACGTGGGCTAAGCACCCAGTCACTATTCTACTAGCAGAACATTCTGCTCATTGAAAGGACAGCAAAGGTTAAAAGCCACCAAGAGGCCACAAATCTCCACTGAGCTTCACAGATCATCATCTGTTAGCACAGTAGCTATTGGTGAACATCAAATCTCCTCTGGTGGCATTACACTGGAAGCACAGGGTGTACTAAGCAACTACAAATCCAGACTCAGAAGTGCTCTCCACAGCCCAGCTATGGGAACTCAGACTGCAGAGAAACTACAGGTATGGATCACAGGGGCTGAGCAAAGCTGACAGCAACACAAGCTTCCAACTCAGAGTATTTCACTAAAAGTTGGACAGCAGCAGCAGCAATCACAGCTCTAAAGGCAGCTATTGCTCTGCTAATCATGTATCAGAGAAGCAATAACATTAAAAAAAAAAAAAATTTGGTCTTTTTTTTAAGATTACCTCAGATGAATTTGGCTCAAGCTTCTGACTTAAGTGGCTCTGCCTGGAATTTGACTCTGTAACACCAAGACATAACCTAGTAAATGAACCATTACACCATTTATGGCTATCACAACTTAAGCCAGTTAAAGTTTGTCTTGCCAAAGTTAAACCTTCAAAACAAAGCCTACCTCAGCACATATTACTTCAGAAAACTTAAAATTTCGTTTATTATCAAAGCATCCTAAAATACAGTTGTTAGGGCACTAACAAAGCAGCTACTTCAACCTGGGTTTCCAAAACTCTACAGGAGTTCTTTGCTGATGTTTGTTATTTCTCAGTGAGGCCTGAGGGAAGCAGGAAAGAAATGTAGCTGTCTCTTTAAGCACATCGTTCATCTTAAATCCCTCTTAGGGAAAAAGCAGCAAGTCTGTACTTTGCTTAAAGTGAAAATGTTTTGATCTGCATTTCCATATTCAAGTGTTAAAATAATAGAAGCTTAAAGTCCTGTCTGCTTTTGGCTGGGTAAAATATCAGTTTAGGCTTAAATGGCTCCAAAGATCTAGAAAGTTTAATTTCTTGAGCATCAGCCAACTTTTAGTGGGAGAGACAGTGCTGAAAAACAGTCATGGCATAAACCTTTATCATTTATGACTAAGGAGCACAAGTGCCAAGAGTACACAACAGCAATGCCTCTGCTGTTGCCAGAGAAAAGGGGGAAAGACTTTAAAAAAACATTCAAAAAGAAGAGGGCAGGGACATCTTCTAAGAGCAGACTAAAGAATTTGAATTGTATTTACTCAGAGGGGAAAAAAAATGTGGAAGCCAAGATGAAATTTGGTGTTTCACTATGGCAAAGCTGAGAGGACAAAAAATAAACTTACTAAATCAATACTATCAGTTGTACTCAGCAAAGATTGACTAACTACCTCCCAACAGCTCCAGCTCTCATCTATCACTGCCACCTTCCCCTTCCTCACAGCAGAAGAAAAGCTTAGAGTCACTGAGGAGAAGCTGAGGAGTGTTATAAAAGATCAGATAATTTTCCCCTCATTGCCTAATCAGATGCCCCATCTCTGATAAATTCTGAGGCTGGCAATAAAAACAAGCAAACACAGAAGAGCCTTGATCTAAAGCCATTTATTTTTACCTTTATCCTTCTGCTCTTCCACCTCTGCTGTCCACTTGCCGTTTCTCCTCTCGTTATTGGAGAACTTTTTCTGGCTTAAGTTATCCACAGTCTGTGTAGCAGCCTGACAGACTGATGGATTCTAAAGAAATTCAGAAAAGCAGAAATATTCATTTTTATGAGAAGACTGATGACATTCTGCCATGATCTGATATGATCCTATTATGCCTTCCTGACACACAGTATTTATCTCTGTGATAGGCAGAGAGTGTGAAGCCATCTTGATTAGTACCATTCAGATTCATCCACTCCTTCATTCATTGCTAAATTTTGCAGTGTCCTTTAGAAGCACTCATCCACTTTCTTTAGAAATTGCAGCAATAGAATAATCTCTCCCAATCTAAAGGCAACATTCTGCCCTTAGGCATAGACAAGTCCACTGAAGTCAGCTCAGCTCCACAACAGAAAAAGAGTGAGTCTGACAAAGAACTTGCACTGCTTGTGACATCAAAACACCAAAAAGGGGACAGGTTTTATGTGAACCAACCCAGAAACAACCACCTAGTGATAGAAATTCATGCACCACAGTGCCACAGTCCTGAGCTATTTCTCAGATAAATTAAACTACTTCACAGCAAGTTCTGTCCTCACCTTGAGGTTTGACCCCACCATACAAGAAAAAGACAACATCTGAGTATCTAAGGAAGTGCAAAGTCTTCCAAAGACAGGAGGAACACTGAGAAAGAAGCCTGCAGCTTCAGAATCTCCCATGTTCACCATATTTACATGCCTAAAGAAGTGAGTATGATGGACATGAATTATTCCCAAGGCAAACCACTACACGGAGATCCACAGTGTGAAGAAAACACCCTTAACTTTCAAGTTGTATGGGAATGTGAGGACAGCAAAGTGACAATTGCTAATTAAAGCATGAAAAATGCACTATTAATGACAATGAGCAAGAGCATACATTGGAGAGAGCAGGGAAGGCTTGTTCATCCCTCTGCTGGATCTCATAGAGGGAGCGGGACTCCTCTATGGCCTGTTTCTCCCTGCGCTCCTCTGGGGACAGGCCAAAGTAGTTACAGTCTCTGCTGCCATGGCTCAGATCCTCTGTCCTCTCCCTCTCTGGCTTCCTGGGAAGGGAAAACATGAAATGGGATCCCTCTGACAAAGGAACACAACACAAACTCATGGCTCCTCAGGAAGAAAGAGGATGATTAGATAGCACTGCTGATGTCACTCCACACACGCCAGATTCCTCTCTGCCTCCTGCAGGTCACCCACAGGCATAAAACTTAAGATGGGAAGGAGTGGATTTTGTCCATGATTTATTCAGTTCAAGAGAATTTTATAACAAATGGGAATTATGAGATTGTAGTTAAAGAGCAAATGCCTACATTGAGTGATCTAAACTATTTCTGTGCCAACCAAGAAATGCTGTTCTTGCACTTCACGTGGTCAGTCACAACATGAAGCTGTTCTCCCTGACAGGTTCTGTAGAAGCTGAGGGAAGATCTTAGCCATGCCCCTAAATCACTACATGCAGTGCTACTTCAGCCCCAACCAGGAAATCAACAACAAAAAAAGAAACAAAAAAGCACCACCCACAACATCCACTTTCCAAGCAGAAACTAGTTTTGTGTACAGTGCTTCCAGGGGAGATGCTGCCACGCCAGAAAAAAAAGAGTGGGAGCTTATGATAGCAGCAATTTTGAAAAAGATTTCAAAATTTATTTTAAAAAAAATATATATTTCACATGCTTGTGTGTATTCTTAAGGACTTATGACACTTAAGATTTCAGTGGCAACATATTTCAAAAGAGCATGTTGGAAGCATCTGAAGCAGGCCCCTGGGCTCCAAAAAGCTCAGCTAGAGCTGAAGACAAGGAAGATGTTATTTCTAGTTTTACCTCACAGTCTGGGAAGGATTCCTGCCTGGAGCTTTTTGCTCAGTTGAGGTCTGATGAGGTTGGGGTGCAGAACACAAGAACTGATGCTGCCTGGTTCCCACAGTATGCTGCAGTCGAGGAGGTAGTGCTGACTGGGGCTTGACTGACTTGCTCTGATTCTTCGGCCCTCTACCATCTGCATCTGTGATCAAGAAGTGAAAACAGACAGATTTACTATTTTTCATCTTTTTTTCATCCTTTGTTTTGGGACAGAACACCAGACAATAAGGACTCTGCCACACAAGGGCAGGTGAGGCCCTACCAGGCTGAGAGTTCTGGCCCCATGTTGGGAAAAACTTTTTGATCTTCTTCCCCGGCACAGTGTTCCAGCCCTCCATGGGAGAGGCCTGTGGAAGAGGTTTAAGGCTCTTCAGTGAGACAGCATGCCTGCAAAACAAGGGATTGTGGAGCAAAAAATATCATGAAGACTGGGATTTGCATAAATTAACACCACGTTTACTAAGACTGATGGATCTTTCCATTTGTGACAACATTGCATTCAAAGTCCTTTGTTCTTTAGGATTACAGGGTAGGAAATGTGTTTGTTCATCTACTCTGTGGAAAAGAACCTTTTTTAATAAAACTTGCTGTTAAGTTGATGCAAGCATATCCAGTACAGAATGATCAGCCCTTTCTGAAGTATTATAATGTCTTCAGGGGAGACAGAAAAAAAAGATCACAAAAAACCAAAATACTCAGATAAACTTATTACAAACAATGCAATAGATGTCAAGATTGGAAAACATTATATTGGTGGTTTATATCCCAGAGTAATTACTGTGTTTTTAACTGAGGATGCTATGGGATGCCCAAGCAACTGCTGATACTATTTGAAAGGATGGCATTCAGATATATAATACAGTTCAAATCTCAAACAAAACCAGGCAACCAACACACAAAAAAAAAACCCTCACAATCCCAACTTTATAAAGAGTTAGCTTGTCCTAAGACAGGGCAAAGATGACACCTGCAAACAGCAGCTTGGCACTCTTGGTATGAAATCAGAGCTACTCAACCAACAGAGCAGCAAGGTGCACTGATGGACCTTTTAATATGAAAGCTTGTCACAAATCTTGTGTCTAGTTATTAAGAACAACAAGCAACACTTAATTAGGATGGTGTCAATCTGTTTAAGATTGCCTCTTGTGCAAAGAAGAAAAAAAATACTAATATTAATGTAATTAATGCTTTACTCTGGAGTAATACCCAGACTACTTAGCACTAAAAGAAAAATCTGAAGTGACAATCAATGCAGAACCCCTTTTTGCTTTTTTTTATTTAACATGGGGTTTTTTCTTCACAGTTTTGGGGTAGTACTGCTTCAAGTAAAGCAGCAGATGCACCTCAGGGGCTGAGATGAACTCTGAGCTGAAGTAATGCTGCCACTGCCAAGGTTCAGTCTGGCACT